ATGGGCATTTGCCGGTTCCGACTCCGATGCCGTATGGACCGCCGATGATGCCTATGCCGGTGCTTGGCATGGCCGCGCCTGGTCATGCTCACAGTTATATGGGTATGCCTGTCACTCATCCGGGAACCGCACAGGGATACCATGGCTTCGAAACGCATCCCTATAATATGATGCATCAGAGAGATTGGTCGGGAAGCAAATACGCCTCGATCGTGCCTTACCCTCATCCTCATGTACCTCCTAATACTAATGATAAGTGAATTGGGCTAATTTTCAGGTTGGCTGCTTCATCTTACTGAGCTTTTCGTATACCTTATTAATGATGAGTGTCATGTTATTAGGTTTTACTGTAGCGGTAGTAAAGCTTTGGTATCAGGAAATTGTGGCATACTATTGGTTTTGTAGGATTCATTGTACTTCTGCGGCTTAGTTTGGAAACTATTCCAATTATGTTTGTCCTAAACAAAATTTTCTTCGTTTTTTTAATTTCTAAAACTGGGTTCTGCCAGTGGTTGCTTTTCCAATGAATATTCTGTATGTGGGGGGGTTTGCGTGTTAGGATTCGTGTGGAGATGCTTTGAGGATTTCTCCAACTAACAAACTCTATATTAGACACGTGAAATGGTGAGCCCAGATAAAATTATGCTTCTTAAAGCAGTATAAGCGAGTTAAGTTCAAGTGTGTATATAGTAAGACAAGAATTTATGGCAACTCATTGGCTCTTGGGGCCTATTTTTAAGCACAGCTTTCTGATTTTGTTTTTTTCGAACTGTTCTTAATATAGTTAGATGACTTCTAAGAATTAAGTTTATTGTGTATTTATGATTTTAAGAGGAAGAACACCGTTTATTCTAAGAATTTGGACACCTGTGAAACTAAGTTAAAAGGAAACAAGAAAAAACAACTTTTATAAAAACAATCCAAAAAATAAAAAATGCCTAAACTGAATTTTTGTTCTAATAATGTAAAAATTTGTTTGTCTTAAACAGCTTTCAAACTGCCCATTCTTACTTTTTGAGTTGAACTACTGTGTAGTTACTTAACTTTCAGCTTCTGATTACTCTCTATGCTACACTGCTCAGTATAATCACTTTTAAAAAATATTGTTACTCGTTAGTTAGATTTGCATGTTTTGGCCTTTACTGTGTAGTCTCCAGGATGAGCATGCAAGTAAGAGAGTCCATTAATCAATAAGTTGAAGATTTCACTTCATCGTAGAGGAAAATCTAAGCATTTTTTGTGTATTTTTTGTTTGTTTCTTGTGGAAATTAGACTTCCACCTGCAAGTTTCTCAATCGACTGCTATGCTACGATGTTCACCTTCTTGGAGAAGTTTATGCTTCCTATACTTAAATCCATGACTTGAATTTGTAACAAATATTTTAATAGAAATTTTGTTTTTTGCTTTCCTTTAATTTTTCTTTCTTCTTACGTAATGTTTCCATGGATAGTTGACCTGTTCATGTTTCTGTCCTATGCATATTCATATAGTTCTCTTTTCTTTCCCATGTACAGATCCAGTAGAGCAGCGTAAGTTGTACCTCTTTGGATGTCGATAAAGTTTACAGTTGAGCTAACTGAATTGCAGGCACATCTTAATGTTTCTAAAATAAGTTATTTTGATGTAAGGAGATCAAAGAACAATCTGCTTGACCTTAATGTAGAAATTTTCCCCTCATTGTATGCTGTGCTTTTAGACCAACTGCATCAAAATCACGATACATGTTATTTGTACAACATTTTTTGAACCTCGAGAGTTTTATTTCATCCTTTTGAATAAAAGCTACAAACATCACTCAGGTGTAATGTAAGATGCATGACACAGTAGTTACAGGAGGCAAAGAGATGGCCAAACCTGATCACATTGAAAAACTTGTTCATACCCTCTGATGAATTATAGAAGTATCGAGCAGCACCACCGAATCAACCTTGTCGGTGGAATGGATGTGTGTATTGTGATTTTCTCCTTAGGATGACATGAAAGGTTAATTTTCCTATGGTGAATGCCTGATTGGTTCTCTTGAATATAATAGCTTCATCTGCAGAGTTCTTTTATAAGTTGTTCTAATTAGTTGAATTCATCCAACTTTTTTTTCTCTATTGATTGACGTCAACTTATGATTAGCATGCCATTTGCAGATGTCACACTGGAAGGAATTGCTTTCCATAAGGTCTCTGAAATAAACAGTGGGTGCACAGATGCTGATAGGCAACACGTACTCGTAAAATTTCATATCAGTTATATTATTATGTTGTCTATCAGGAAGTCAACAATTGCCAATTATTGAATACCTTTGAGATATTTAAACTGTATCTCCAAGAAGATTGAGATTATCTACTTCATTCTAGTTTGTGCTTTAACTCACATAAACTTGAATCACAACAGATTTAATATCTGAACCCCTCATTTTTGTATGTCTATTCTAGTGAAGCGCCTCGGTCTTTAGATGAATAATGGCTGCCATGATACTGGATTAAAATCATTGCTTCATTCTTTCTTCATAATTTGTCGTTTTCGACATGATGAGTAGCATCTTATTTATTATTGATCTTCTATTCGATTCACACATGCCTAAGCTGTTCATTTTGGGAAATCCAGTTTCTGGGATGGTTCTTTGGCTAAACCAGACTTGAAGATTGTCGTTCGGTTTCGTGTGCTTTCAGAGATGACTAAATATTACTTGGAACTAGTTTAATGTCTGTTTAGTGGTCTAACTTGGTTCACAGAGATGAAATCTTGTTCATACTTTCAGGTAGCTCCCATGGCTCCTTGTTAAGGTTTTATTAACTGACTGGCCCTGCTGTCTCGTTTGTGGACATTGTTTTTCCCCATTTTTTTCAGGTCTCAGAAAGCTGCTGTCTTGAATCATTGATTCTCTCTGTCCTATTAGGTTTGGAATGTTTTTGTGCATAAAACTATCTGTATCAGACAGTTTGAGCTGAAGGACATCTGAGTTTTTGACAAAAACACATAAAAAGTTCCACAAAACTGTCATGGAACATGTGTCCAAATTGAACCTCAATTCTCTGTCGTCAGGACCCTGCAATCAATGTGCTGACTGCTGTAAGTTCTGAAATTCCAGTAATATGTCTATTTTGTCTTTTTAAAACGTTCTAAAAAAATGACCAGTTTGTGGGTAGAATATTATTCTAAAATTTGGAGTCGAAAAGAATAAGATAAAATGAGAATGAAGGGATCAAAATTGTCACTTTTTTTAAAGGTATAGAGACCAAAATGGTATTTTGAGAATACAAGAACTAAGTGAACAAATAATGACCAAGATTGTATTTAAAAATATATAGATCAAGATGAACCAAAATCGAAGTCCAATAACTAAAATAGTATTTAAACATAAAAAAAAGCTCATTCTACTCTTTAAACTTTAATACTTATTGCCAACTAATTTAATATACATCACCGCACTTATTACCATTGCTAAGATCAATGGTTCCGTCCCCACCCGGAAATTGTTTGACCTAAAAAAAACTTCAATACTTGTTTTATTTTGTCTTTAAAACTTATATATATAATCTTAGTTTTTACTATTAATTTTCACAGAAATTTGATGACAAGCAGTTTTGAAGTAATAGCATATGAAAACTTGAAGGGTTAAAGTAGAACATTATTTTAAAGAAAATAATAATAATAATAATAATAATAATAATAATTGAGGGGACACCAAAAGCTTGTCAACCTTTTGATATTTTTTTGGGAAAATGTACAACATAGAAGATTCTATTGTAATTACAGTCTAACTTCTCTTCTACTGTTCCCTTTGGTGAGGATCTAATATATTTCTCATGTTTCTTATAGAAAAAAATATTTGATAATTTATAGATAAAAAATATTTAAAAAAATTAAAGACCAAAATAAGCTTTAACCCCACAAGAAAGTGAATTTCTGATACATAACAATAATAGTAATAATAATAATCATTATAATAAACTGAAATAAATAAATAAAATATTGCTCTACTAGTCTTAATCTGCATCCACAGCTTGGCATGATGAGTTTTACAGCCCCAAAAAAGAAACAAAGATGCACAGAAATTAATTAGGAACGTCCCAATTTCCATTAAAATTGTTCATGAAGTTGAATCCCTGTTCAAGCAGAATGCACAAAAATCAACCTAGCATAGATGATTTTCTAGCATCTCTTGAGCTAATTTACCATAATCAGACAGGTAACAAAGTATTTTTTTTTTTTTTTGATAAGAAACGGAAGTAACAAAGTAAAAAAAAACAAAAGAAGAGCAAGATAAGCTATGGTAAAAAAAAAGTGTCAAAGAAATAAATCGCTCTAACTTGATTCTGTATATCATCTCCAGAATACAGCTCCAACATTCTTCTCCCACAACCTAAACATAATGAGCCGGCTACGCTAACCAAAAATGGAATACAAATTTTAACTATCTTAAAACCTCTCCCCGAAACGGAAAAACAACGCACCCGTGCCCGAGTTATTGTCCACAGCATACTCGACTCGGACCAGTCCCAGCTTTACCCCGGCACCATACGACGAACCATGCCCCATTCGCCTGTATACCTCGGTTGGGTTTCCCTTGACGTCCTTCGAACTTCCGAGATCGTTTCCATGTTCAGCGAATGCATATACATGTGTGCCTTTAACTGGGATTCGTAGCTCGGCTGCAAGCTGAAGAAAACCAGTCGGCTAGAAATCAGAATGCCGGTCCTAGGTCCTAACTCATGAAAAGACTACGTTTAGTTTTCAGGGGCGTTCAAGATTTACCTCGAGGATGTTTCGTGCTGCGCCTAACTCGCCCATATTGTAACCCCTCACAGAATAAGGCCCTCCAAGGGTAAAAGCATCATAACTTGGAAGATCTCCTACACAGCCACCATAATGGCCATGGAGGACAAGCACAGGGGGAGGTGGTTTACCGGCACCTTCCTCGACCTGCTTCAGCTGGAAAAACCGTGTCAACGTAAGCTGATGGCGGTTGAAGAATGGAAACTTGCTGCCCACCCCGAGGCCTTGGTCCACCTGAAACACATACATGTAGCATTCAATAATCAGCCAGAAAGAAAAATCTGTACTTCTCAAGATTATCCATATTTCAGAAGCCATAAAAATTTAAAGCCTGCATATCTTTATAAATATTTGCTTCTGAATCTGCGTGTTTTCCTTTTTTCCCTTCACGTCTTCAGGCAATGACACAAGGGGAGGGAGATTACTAGGGGGTTAGGGTTGGGTAAGAAATTTTTTCAGTTTGAGTTTTTTTTTATTTCTTTTCTAATATCAAAAACTGAGCTTTTATCGAGAGAAATGAAAGACTACAAAGGGGCATACAAAAAAAACTAGCCCACAAAAAGAGCTAAACTAAAACAAAGGTCTACAATCAAGAAAAATCAATTTAAGGGAGTAATTACAAAATACTTTGGCCACCTAGGCCGAAGGGAAAAGTTGAACCTAACAAGGTCCCACACCTCCTCCCTTGATCTCCCTATCCACCGAGTTGTGTTGGTTTTTTCTAGAACTGAAAAATTAGGTTCGATTTGCTGTTTGTAGGATTTTTGGTCGGTTCGGTTACAGTTGGGAGGAATTTTTTGTTGGTTCAACCTAAACCGACCCAAACCCAATATTATATATAGACACTATAAGGGTTACATATCTTTCTCCTTTTATTCCTCTGCCGCCTCCCTCCCTCTACCTCCGCTCTCTCTTCCCCCTCCCTCTCTCATCTCCCTCTGTCTCTAGTTTCCCTCCTCTTCCCTCTCCCGTCTCCCGTCTCCCTCCCTATCCAGCCGGTAGGTAGAAAATTCCTACTGATACCATATAAGGGTTGGATTGGGTTGGGTTGTAAACTTCATCCGAGTCTCGGCCAGTAGAACCCCGAATTTTTCAAGTTAGTCCAAAAATCCTCCTATTTCAACCCAACTCAACCCGTGTACGGCCCTAGTGATTACGTGACATTAAAATCATACAAGCAGGTGATGGTACATACTATTAAGAAGATAGGCTTACCTGAAATACATTCCTCTCACCAACTATAGCTCCGTTAACAAATTTTGTATTATCCCGCGTTATATTTGCTTGTAAAAATGCCATTCGATCGATACCAGTCCCGCTCAGAGTTGTGGGTGGTCCATCAGCACTAATACCTCCACCAAGCAATGCCCTCTGACCATTTGGACAAATATTACTGCTTTCGTCCCGTGTGGTTATCTCCTCCATCACCAGTCCATAAGTGAATTTGCTTTGGCGGGTTAAGTTCTATTAGACAAATACCAGCAACATAAGAAACACTTTTTTCCCAAATATGCTACAAAAGAAGAGTAAATCTAGAAAACTGTCATTTCATAAGCACCTCAGTAACATTAGCCTTAACCCCAGCTCGATCGACCCATATAGGTGGAACTTCATCTGCCCCTGGTCCGCCAGTGAAGGCGGGACTCAGTTTTCGGCTGTTGAAGCAACTAACTCGAAGAGTTCGATTCCGCAGGCTAAAGACACCATCCAAATAAGGATGCACATACTCAAGCTTAAATGAAAGGTCATCCTGAATAAAGAAAATCGAGGAGATTTCATCATTCAAAGTTGTTTAGAACAAGATAGCAGTTAGTCCTAAGCAGCAATCGAAAGACTAAACAATAATACTCATTGGGCTACCTGGGGATTCAAAAAATTGCTTGTTGTCACAGTACCCAGAATAGATCGATTTAGTCCTTTGATATTGCGATGTTCAAAAGTAATCGTTCCACCAGGCTGAAGTGAAGCCTAAGAACACAAAACCAACAAAAAAAAAACATAATTAATCATAATTCAAATCTAAATGGCGGTAAACATAATAGAAATAAGAAGGCATAGATAAATATACTAGAAACTTATACGCAACATACCAAAGTGGGTCGTCCTCCACGTCCAGGAACAATACTCCATTCCGAACTGACTTCGGCAGTTTTTTGGTCAAGTTCTTTAAGCTTTATTTCAACAATGATCCCTCCTTCATTCTTCTCGTCAGGACGTGGATTCACTTCAATATTTGAAAACAAAGCAAGTGAGTTGATGTTCCTCAGAGCTTGCTTCCCTGCTTCAATATTAAAAACATAGCCTGGGCGAAGCTGTGACAAAATGCAAATTATTCAACACATAAGAATGACTAAACTGCTTTACAATGTTGCAACTGTACATCCAGGAAACCAAAAATTAATTTGAGACGATATAATGAACATTCAAGCCACAGTTTGAAGTTTACAATTTGGATGAATAATAAATTTACTTTTGAACCCAGTTGTGTCTATTAGCTAAACATTGTTAGCTAAACGATGACGTGACATGCTTATTGGATAAATATTGGATTATTTGGCACACCGAGACAAAAAATATAAGAAAAAAGCAAACAACTAACCAAAATATAGGCAGACTAAAAAAGGATTTGATACATATTTCACATTTTGTCCAATTTTCTACTTCCCTCTTATACTTGTCTGAACGTTGTGCCAGATCAATTAGCATTTGTCCAGTAGCATGTATGATAACAATTATACCGTCAAAGATGCAAATAATCATATTTAATTCAAGAACGTAATTGAAACTTTTTAAAGTTTAGGGCTAACTAAACACATCTATCAAAGTTCATAAACTAAATTTGTAACCTATCCTACAATTTACAGAACAATCAAATTGAAGGTTTAAAGGATTCTACCTGTCTGGGCAATTCCCTCTTCACCACAGGAATTTGAGTGTTCCCCTCAACAACATTTCCAAGCTTATCCTGGAACTGAATCACCAGCTGAGTTATATCCCCTTCCACCACCTCGCAAACGACCTCTTTGGTATTCAAATTTCCAAAATTCACCACCTGAGCGCAAGCATACCCTTCATCATGGTACCATTTCTGCACCCTGTCCCTAATTTTCTGCAACAGCCTTGCACTCACCTTCCCCTGATCTCTCAACATCTGAAGCACTTCTCTATGCACTGGAAATGGCAGCATACACGGCCTCGCCCTGTCAATTCTCCTCTTGTAATCTTTCTCTTGGTTCCTGAAATACTCGAGCTTCTCCTTGTCCGTCATATCGGCGTCCATCTCGATCGG